AATAAATAAATAAATAAAATAAATAAATAAATAAATAAATAAATAAATAAATAAATAAATAAATAAATATTTATATTTTTATTTGTGTATACAGGTCCTATAACCGGCATCAGCCCAGCATTGAATGATCGTTTATTATTAACAGCAGCAGAAGACGGTGTTTTATGTGTATGGGAGATAAGAGACAGAGCAGCAGCAGCAGCAGCAGCAGCAGCAGCAGCAGGAGCAGCAGCAGCAGGAGAGGGAGCAGCAGCAGCAGCAGGAGGAGCAGCAGCAGCAGCAGCAGGAGGAGGAACAGGAGCAGAAGAAGGAGGGGCTGAAGCAGCAGCAGCAGCAGCAGCAGCAGCAGCAGCAGCAGCAGCAACATCTAATTCTGCATCAACAGCAGCTACAGCAACAGGACAAGGACCAGCAACAACAGCAGGATCAACAGCAGCAGCAGCAACAGCAGCAGCAGCAGCAGCAGCAGCAGCAGCAGGAGGAGGAGGAGAATATACATATGAAGTATTAGTAGAAAGAAATCAACTTATTGAAAAAGAAATAGAAACAAATGAACTAAAAAGACAAATACAAGATATAACAAATCAAATTATTTTTCAACAAAGAAGATTTGATACACAACATAAAGAAACCATGCAACAACTAGAAAATAAATTTAATAAAGAACTACAAGCAGAACAGTAAACCCTCATAAACCCTAAACCCTCATAAACCCTCATAAACACTCGGACACACTAAACCCTAGTTTTTGTTTTTATTTCGGGTTTTTTTCGCTTTTTTCGGGGGGTTAGGGAAACCCTCATAAACCCTCATAAACCCTTATATAGCCTAAACCCTTATAAACCCTCGTAAAACCTAAACCCTCATAAACCCTAAACCCTCATAAACCCTTAACCCTCATAAATCCTAAACCCTGAACCCGCATAAACCCTAAACCCCATACCCTTATAAACGCTAAACCCTAAACCCTTATAAACCCTAAACCCTCACAAACCCTAAACCCTCATAAACCCTAAACCCTCATAAACCCTAAACCCTCATAAACCGTAAACCCTAAACCCTTGTTGTGTGTGTATAAAGAACAAAGTTTGATATTTTAAGAGCTTATAAACCCTAAACCCTCACAAACCCTAAACCCTCATAAACCCTAAACCCTCATAAACCCTAAACCCTAAACCCTTGTTGCGTGTGTATAAAGAACAAAGTTTGATATTTTAAGAGAAGAGAAGTTAGAGGATGAGAGAACGTTTCAGCAGAAGCTGCAGGAGCAAGAAGCCAAGCATGCTGCGGCTATACAGGTACCCTAAACCCTAAACCCTAAACCCTCATAAACCCTCATAAACCCTCATAAACCCTTTTAAACCCTTGTAAACCCTTATTCACAATTATAAACCCTCG